TGGTAAAATAAGTGTAAGAAACCTGAGATTTTTTCACTCACTCTATAATCCTGCATTACAAATAAATCAGCATCCTTTATTCTTTAATAGTCAACAAAGGGTTATTTTTACTTTACTGTGCACATGGAAAAGATATTGAATACAATATTTTCTACCAAGTTCATTCTTAGTACCAGGATATAGACTCATTTGCTAAAGGCTAATATGAGGTTGCTAAGTGAGAATGCAGAGCAAAATATAAATAATAGCCCAACTTATTTTACATTATAGAATATCCACCAAGAATTATTTCAAGATTTAGCAATTTAATATTCCAATGTATTATCCTACTATTTCTAAATTAATCTTATTTAAGTTGAATACTTTGGCTCAGTAATTCTACTTCCTGAAATGTCACCTTGGTAAATGCTTATGAACTGGATAGTACTATGAGTGGCAGGGAATCTTATTATTATTGTTATTATGACTGAGTAAGAAGTCTGTGAACAAGGGACAATTGTAAAGCAAGCTAATAAAAAGGCTGAGAACTGAATTCTAGGTTGTTCAAATATTTAGTGTTTGGGATGATGAGGAATAGGAGGAAAACCTCAGCATAGGACATAAGAAGAGAGCATGAAGATTCACAGTCCTTCTAAGGAAAGATCTTGGATGGATAGGTAGGAGACCACTGCACAGGGCCAAGGGGTCAGAATGCTGCTCTGGTTCTCTGAATGCTCTTTTCTATGTGAACTCATATTATGACTGCCCTGCAGGGACTCTGATGCCACCACAAGGAAAAACATCAATGGCACACACTGAGCAAACTTTGATGTCATTTATAGGACTTTAAGTGGAAGTAAAACTTTTTAAAAAACTGCTAAATTACACTACATACAATATCATATAAAAAGAATGATGAAGGGGCTGGGGTTGTGGTTCAGTGGTAGARCGCTCACCTTGCACGTGCAAGGCCTTGGGTTCGATTCTCTAACCACATACAAATAATAAATAAATAAATAAATAATAAAGTTTAAACAAAATTGTAAAAAAATAATGATGAATATACAGATAGAGATTAGTTATGTAAAATAATTTGAAGACTTAAAATAAGCTTATTTATCATCTGGCATCTGAATGAACTTATGACCTCATTTCACCTGAGATTATTTCTATGAACCACCTTATTAAAATAAATTTGCAAAAAAATATTACTTATGGGTGATATATGGTTTTACAGCAAAGGTATTACAATTTAAATCATAATATCACATAAGAATTGTTAGAAATGCTACCACAGATGTTCAAAATCATATGTGGTATAGTTTAACTATATTCTATCTTTAGCAGCACTCTGGTTTGATTTTTTTCACATTTGAAGTTATCAGGATTTAGAGGCATTAGAATAGTAGTTACACTGTTAAAGAGGTATTGATTTTAATGATATTTGGTTTGTTCTGCATTCCTAAAAGAAGAGAACTTATTTTTTCTATTGGTGTTTACAACCTACATGAAGTAGCTACAGTGGCAGATATCAGGTATGTTGGCCAGGGAGCAAAGTGAAGGTTCAGAGTCATGCCAATCCTGAAATTTCAGGGTATTGATGAAAGATCCATATCTATGCAAAGAGCAAATTAAATATTATAAAACATAGAAAATATTTCCTAAATACTGAGATGTATAGCCACTTTACTGAAATGGGAAAATATTTTTACATTTCCTAACAATGAAAACTACATAGTATAGGTGGCTTACTTCTATAAGAAACATATTAATTCATACTTTATAATAGCCTACAGGTAGGATTACAAGTGGAGATAATTTTTACATTTTCAAAAACATGTTAAATAATTAATGAAAATAAAATGACACCTAAAAGATGCATAAATATTTTAGTGGTAAAACTTTGCCAAAATAAATACTATACTGAGTTTATAGACCTCTGTGTTGCATGAAAAAAAAAAAAACATGAACAGAAACAAAAACAAAAAATCAGTTCAAGAGTAATTAGGAAAATATTTATCAATTTGTATATTAGCTTAAGTGGAGCAGAGTCATTGAAATTATAGGACACAATAGTAGTATTATTCCTTTAAAAACTGGGGTTGGGCTGTGGCTCAGAGTTACAGTGTTCACCTAGCCTGCATGAAGCACTGGGTTCAATCCTTAGCACCACATAAAATAAAATAAAGATATTGTGTCCACCTATAAGTAAAAAATTAAATATATTAAAATAATATATATAACTATATGTACATGTATATCTATTTGTGTGTATATATGTATATGTATATATATATTTATATAAAATCAGACTTAATTCCCAATCAGATATATAAAGTCTGACAATGAAATTATAGTGCATGTAAATATTCTATATATGATGAAAATAAAAGATCATGGAATTGAATATAACCCTGATAGGTAAGTCATAATTTCATATCAGTCTTTTGTTTCTTTTAATTCCTAATCAGATGTTGTTCCTAATAAGACTTTTTGAGGTAACAAATGAACTTATATTTATATTACATTTTATAAAAAATAAACATAAGTATAAGGAAGAAATAATGGCACATTCTAACTTCTTAATCCATATAACACTTAGTAAACTTTATGGAGTACAATGTCTGTAAGATATTAAGAACATCTGAAATGACATCTTTACTTGCTTTACCAATGTATCCTACTAGCCCAAACAGGAAAAATATTACAGTCTTTTATAAAAATAGAAATGGGACCTACACTTTGGTAGCTTTCTTATCCTTCTTTATTTCAGCATGCTATCTACAGTAGTTTCCTAGCCACTTATTAAAAATTGAAAAGCAACAGTTATAAGCTCTTAGAAACATAATGGGTAACCCACTTAGAGTAAGCAGATGTGGATTTTGAAAGGATGTTTGCCTGGAGTTGCTGAAAATCATCTGTATCTTAATCTCCCCAATTCTGATGGGTAGTTGCTTTACCATACCTGTCCATTTCAACAGTAATTGAAACCAGGATTTTGGAAGTTAAAAAAAAAAAATTCTTGCCATCTTGACAAGTATAGTTTCCTGAGAAAACGTTAGCTGAATATCCTTCACTCTTTTTCTCTTATGAAACAAACCAAAAAAAGTTATTTATAACAAGTCCTTGAGCTTATAAGTAACTTCAGAAAGTGAAAAACCCCATACAGATACAAACTCCACACAAGTGTGCATGCGCGCGCGCACACACACACACACACACACACACACAATTATAGATGAAATTTAAACCTGTACTCTTTTTCTTGTAATAATTTTGATGTTGTAAAGTCCTGCTAGCATTTAAATAACAATAAAATTATAATGTATGTAAATATTCTAGAAAGATGAGAATAAAATATTATTGAGTTAAATATAACCCTAATAGATAAGTGTCAAAATTCCTAAATACAGTGGAGAACATATTAACTTTAAGCAAAAATGATTTTTTCCTAGAGCAAACCATTTGTTTTCCTTAAAAAATATAAAGACTGTGACGAATTGTGTTAACACCGATTACAAGAAGACATATCCTTATCTCTACATATAAATATAGATACTTGATTTGCAGTAAGCACTTCATGGTCTTTTGTTCAAATCTTGCTCAAGTACACTAACTCCTATTTATTTACATTGTATGGTAAATAAAACTATTATGTCAAATAAAATACCTTTACATTAATTGTATTTTAATTTTACATCTCTATTTGGTTTCCATTTCTTTAACCAATATATTTGGCTTATAAAACTACCTTGTAGAAGAATGAAGAATGGATGCTTGAAGCATTTGTAGTGTTCTTAATTCCCTACAATAGAACTGAAAAGTGAACCAAGTTTTCTTTCACTATAGAACATGTCTAAACAGGTGCAAAGCACCTCTGTGTGATTTGGAGGGTACTGTGCCAACCTCCAAGTGGGGCAGTATGTGCCCATCAGATGGATTTAGCTTCATATTTGGTAGAATCAGAGCTAAATGAATGGTTGAAAGCCAGGTGCTTTGGGTACCTTGACATATATTTCTCAGGTGGTCACTCTGGTTGTCTTGTTCATAAGAGCTTTTGTAGGCACATAACAATGGAAGGCATAGAGCCTATATTCCTCTTCTTTTATGTGAAGACCAGAAAGAGAAATCCATTTGGTTGTTTTTCTTTTCCTTTCTTATTTTCCTTTTTGTTACTCGAGAGTTATATTTTTCTGTGGTAGTGACCTGTCTAGCGATACCAGAAATGGCTTTAAATTCATGGAATTAAACAAAGTGATCTCACTTGGTGAGATTTTTGGAAAAGTGCAAAAGAGTTAAATCCAAGTTGTTTTTAAATAGAACTAACCATATGTTTACCAATTTATTTGTATTTTTTTTATAATGGAAACCTAATAGAGGAAAAAACCTGTACATACGAGCATAATAACACTTTAAAAATGCAAAATTTGATTATTGTACAGCACTTACCAATGCTGGTTTCACATTACTTATCAATATACATTTAATATCCATTATGGTCTAAGAGCTATTCCACTTTAAAACTTTTAATTCTCAGAACTAATGATCACTCATTGTTTTATATGGATAAATATAATTTCCATTTGAATCCATTAGTTAAAAACACAAAATCCCCAAGAATATATGTCCTAAATAACTACAAATAAAGCTCATTTTCATTTATAATTATTGTTGTCTGCTTCTGAATTACTTGCCATTTTTATTATTATATGCAAATTATATATATACATATTATATATATATATTTTTTATGATCATCATAATGAATGTTCTTAATTATATTTTAGAACCAATTCTTTTTTTTTTTTAAAGAGAGAGTGAGAGAGGAGAGAGAGAGAGAGAGAGAGAGAATTTTTAATATTTATTTTTTTGTTATAGAACATCTCAACATCTTTGTTGGTATGTGGTGCTGAGGATCGAACCCGGGCCGCACGCATGCCAGGCGAGCGCGCTACCGCTGAGCCACATCTCCAGCCCCAAGAACCAATTCTTTAAAAGCAGTACTGTAATCATCCACTTACAGTTGGTGATTTTCAGTGTCCTCTTCACTTCTCCACTCCCCGATCCTCCGCAACCATCCTCATCATCACAGTCTCCACTGACTTGCTCCACCATGCCACCACCACTGCCCAGCTGAATAAGCTCCCACTTGTTGGGTTTGGGTGACCTACCCTGTAACAACTAAATGCAGACACCAAAAAATATTTATTATTAGCAAATTCAAAACTTCTAAGAACACAATTCTTAAACTTAGGTAGAAATAACAATCATTCTTATAGGGATCCACCATTTTGGTGTAGATACCTTACTAAGTCAAATCTTCAAAATATTAAAACAACTGAATTCATAATAATGGGCAAAAACTTATATTCATAAAGAGCTATACTCTGCCTACTAACTTTGTGATAAGTCTTTGGATAATGCTTTAGGAAATAAATAAAACTAGTTTTTTGTTTTTTTTTTCTTATGGGTAGTTTGGTCAGAGGATCTTTTACTGTTTAAAAAATAATGCTTAAGCTTGGTAAAGCAAACTGCAAAAGGACACAACCACCCTTGTAGTGTGTTCACCTGTAATAGTGTACAGTTTTGTACTATCCAAAATTTCTCGAATGTTAGAGTACTATCTTTCTAGAAAATAATTTCATCTAAAGAATCCAAAATTTTGAACACAAACATTAGTATCTCTATTTAAACTTTCTCACATAAAAAAAATAAGGCCCAATGTCTATGGCCCAGAAATTAATTTGGGGCAAAAGATTCAGGTAGTGTTTTCAATTTCTACAAGGTATTTAAGAAGTTTAGCTAACTTCTCAGTTCTTAGTTCTTATGGATTTCATTTACCTTTATAAGTAAAATAGATAGAATAGCCATTCTCCCCTGCAGCATAGGAGTGTTGGTAATATTTTTAAATAATATTGGAAGTGTGTCTGAACTCCTTTTCACAAAGGTGATGTTATAAATAATAGAATGTTTCACTTAAAGCTAAAACTGAGTAAAATAATCCAATATGTGACATTTTCTACTCTAATGTAGTTTAGGGGAACACATAAACCAGTATAAGCCCAAGAGGGAAGTGCTATATTATGAATGATATGTACCTCTGCTGCCCACTTAATGGCCATTTAGATTCTCATAGTACTTTATGAAAGATTTAGGATTGTGACTTCTGTGATTTTCAAAAAAAACAGTATCAATTTGCAAATACTAATTACACAACCCACATTAAATCTTTCATGTTGAAGAATAGTGAAATAGCTTCAGCATGTCTAAGATGAAAATGTTTAACATTTAAAGAATACTTATATTAATCAACTGGACTTTGACAATTATAAACTTCAAAATTAAAAAAGTCATGAATTCTAAATTATTACAGTTTTTAAGATTTAGTTTTTCTAAAGGTATGCAAAATAACTGGTTAAAATTCTTACTTTTTACCAAAATTTTTCAAAAATTATATAATATGTGTTAAATTTAAAAGAAGGCTTCTTTCAACATCAAATGAATTTAGTAAATTACATTTAAGAAACCTTCTTTACTATGTTTAATGTGCTGATGTGTATGTATTCTATTTCCTAGAAAAGAAGGGCAGGTCCATGGCAATGGGGAAACATAAAAATGCAACAAACCATAAAAAAATTAAAATATGAAAAAGAATTGTAAGTACAAAGGTTTTATTTTATACCATTTATCATGCCATTCATCATGCATTTAGTATCTTCACAAAGGGATTGGACTCTGAGGTCCAACCTACTTAGATATGAATCCTGATTCTGACATACACTAACCAAGACACATTGGATTGGGATAACTTAATTAAAAACTCACTTTACTTACATCTAAAGTACGGACATGAATTTATGTATGCCACATTCACAGTGTGAGAAAAAATTATGTAAAGCACTTTGCAAATACTTAGAGTGTCAGCACATTAAAAATAATACATGTTGATTATTATTATCTACTTTATCATATATTCTATTACAATATTATTTGAACACCCAGAACACATTACTTGAAAGAATTATTTGATAAAGAATTCAATTACACAACTCACATTATATTTTTTAAAGTATTATCTGACAAGTATAACAAAAGACAACTTCTCTGGTAGGTCCTGCTTCCTTTCTGACCCTGACATCTTTTTCTAACATTTTCCATATCAACCATATTTCCCTAAGATTTCTGCTACTATTTTTACTGGGATCTTTACCAGAATCCTGATGAAATCTCCTTAACAATATAAACAATGTATAAGTCACAAGGCCACAACCCAAAGAATTTGAACTAAAAAATTCAAGCTGAAAAATTGTCCATATAAAACAAAAGTTACTATATTAGGAAATAAGACTCATTTGAAAGTCTTTGAATATATTCATTGTCAGAGAATTATTCACTTATTTGTATTGACTGATACAAAATAATAGGGAACTTTTTAAAAAAGCATTTATTATGTTATCTACGTTTCTCTAGAGTGAAATTGTAGGAAATACTTAAGCACCTCAAACTTTTAAGATATAGGATTGTGTAAAACTATATTTCAACTCAAATTATCTGTACTGAGCACAATTGTAAAACTGACACCAAGACCTCCTACTCTATCCTTGGGACTGAACACATGATGTCACTTTCATACCTACTACCTTTCATATCCAAAGAAATGTTTCAAATGTTATTAATGTCAGTAATCAGTTGGTCTTGTACCATAAATAAGATTTCTCTGGCATGGATTCATATAATCACATACGTTCTTTAAAAGGGAAAGATTTCTCTGGCTATCACCAGAGTCAAAAAACATTTGAAGCATGGAAGGTCAGGGACACTGAATCCAAGAAAACTGTTTGTTGTGGAGGTATATGTTGGGATGCTGTGAGAGCGTATTAAAGTTCCTGTGGCAAGGAATTGGACTTCTAGTGTCTTTTAGCAGCTGAAAGTGGAGTGATCTTCCATGCCAACAGCAAGAAAATGAGGCTCTCAGCCCTATAACTGTGTTCTCTCTACTGCCTACTTAAGCCTAGAAGTGGATTTCCTTTCAGAACCTCCAAATTGTGGCTGAAAATTTGATTTTGGCCTTGTTAAGTCCTGAGCAATGAGCCAACTCAAACTTCTGATCAATAAAGCTATGGGCTAAAAAATGGAAGTTGTCTTGAGCTTCTAAATATGTGGTCATTTGCTATGTAGCAAGAAGAAAATAATATACTCTCCAATCCCTGATTGCGCCACACTTACTTCTTGGAAATTTTGTCTGATATCTTCTGATTCTTTACCACATTTTTCAGAACAAGAGGTGAAAATTTCCATAAGACACCACCTTATCAATAAGATGGTACCCTTGGAAACATGCTATCAGATTTCACCTTTGCATCAGTTTTCATTTTCTCTGCCTTTTCATAATCCTTCTCACTGATTTTCATGTCTCTGAATAAGGGGTATAATTGCCACTTCCTGTGATCAACTGATCCAAATATATCCAGGTTCCCATTTGATCCATGACTCCAGATCTCCAATAAGCCCCTCTCCCTCTGATAGGGTCAATAGTTACCCCTTCTCATTCGTTTTCTCAATTCTCAGTTACTACCTGTCAGCAAATGTTCATTTTCATTCTCAAAATTTTTAAAGTTTACAAAAATATTAGTGAATTTCCAGTCCAAAAAAACAAAACAAAACAAAACAAAACAAAACAATGGGCTTTTCACAATAAGAACTTTGCTCATATTCTCTCTCTCTCTCTCTCTCTCTCTCTCTCTCTCTCTCTCTCTCTTTCTCTTAGACTATACTATCTAAATTTCTTCTTTTGTTCACCTTTCTCCCCAATTACTTCAAAATAAATAAATAAATAAGGATTTTTAATAAATGTGTTTCAGTGAAGAGTATAAATCCTCTAATTTTAGTCTGTTTCAGGGAGCTCATCCTAACAGATTAACAGACTGTGCCTCCACCTGTATATACATTACCATCTGGTGTTAACTCATATTCCATGTACCGCTTACTTCACCTCTAAGCTGTGGTTAGAAGTAAAGATGAACTCTCCCACTTTCTATCTTCCAGCAAAATTATTAATCTTCACCATTCACTTGGCATTTAAAACATACCTTCTGATATCCCATACTGCTGGGGTCATTAGTCTCTCTTACCCAACACCACCATATATTTTTATTTTCCCCAAATCAATACTTTTACCATGTCATTTCTGATTCTTAATGCTCTTTGAGACACTCTACTGTCAAAAAGCACTTATAACATGTACCTAGAAGAGGGAACAAATGGGTAAAAAGAACAGTGGTAAAGTGTTTGGGAAATGAACATGATTTCCCCTTTTTAGTTCTGAAAGCTCAGGAGAAATATCACAGGAAGCAAACTTGTCTAATTAGGATTTACCTCACATTTCCCAAATTTACATAAGCAAATTTCCCATCTCCCCTCACTTAGCACATGCTGGTATACTTTAGAAATGAGTTCAAGAAAACATGTCCAAAGGTGACTTAGCAGTCAAGGTGCCATTGTTATATTGCTTCTCTTTTTAAAAAATTGTATTTGAACACAGCTCCTCAGCACCCAAATTTGGTTACAGAGCAGTCAATCATTCTCACACAAATCATGTGACTTTATAATTTTGTTCATGCTTGTTTTATTGTCCCCTCACTTTCAACTCCTGTTTTGCCACACAAAGAATACACACTTTCCTTTCAACTCATCATATTATATCCAACATTCAAGTTCAAACTCAAATATATCGTTTTCTATTCCATATGTATATCTGTGATCTTTTAAATTCTATGCCGTTTGTTGGCACTTAATCAGTTTTCTTGAGCATATATCACCCTTCTTGATTAATGGTAAGTTTCTCAGAGATTAGACCAGGGTTTAGATTTCTCTATACCACTCCCCATTATGAAGAGAGTGCTTATTACAAGATAAATGTTAAATGTGCATATATTGATTGATTGATTTAAAGTTTAAAAATAATTAAGCTAACCCTGTCTTTAATGTCTGTATAGCTAATTTATTAAAGAGCTTTCACTTTGCTGAAGACATTCAAGGCTATAATATTCTGGAATAACTTTGAATTCGTACTTTTTGACTGCCAAATTGATTGATTCACATATTAATTCATTGACTTTTTTTTGAGCATGTACTATGTAACAGATATTTTGGAAGCTAAACATCTATATCAAAAGAGAATA